GTTAAGTCCAACAATTCACAAATGGGAGCACATGAAACTAAAAAGCTTCTGGGCATCAAAGGCATCATCATTTGAGTGAAGAAGCAACATACAGAATGGGAAAAATCTTTACCAGCTATACCACCGACAGAGGGTTAGTATCTAACATATACAATACCACCCCCCCCAAACTAAATGTCAAAAAACTCATTTAAAAATAGGGCAATGAAATACTTCATCTGCATAAATCCTAATGAATTTAGAGACAAATGAAAAAAATGTAATTCCTCTCCAAATTACTAATCCCATACCCATGGCCTCTATTGAGAGTGATTTGAAGAAATCCCAGGCAAAGAACTAAAAAATGATTATGTGTGTTCAAAAAATCAAAGAAGAAAATAGCAACAATAATCAAAGAAGAGAACAGGAAACTATGAGGAATTTAGGGAGGCATAAGATTTGGTGGGGGAATGAGAGGGATGAAAATAATGGAAATACAATACTCATGTATGAAACGCTCAGAAAATAAGATAAATTGGGTTGGAGAGATGGCTCAGTGGTTATGAACACTGGCTGCTCTTGCAGAGGACCCAGGTTCAAATCCCAGCACCCATATGGTGGCTAACAACCATCTGTAACTCCAGTTCCAGGGGATCTGACTCCCTCTTCTGATCTCTGTGGCATTGCATGACATGAGTGCACTTACACACATGCAGGCATAACACTCATGCACATAAAATAAAAATAATAAATAAAATATTTTTAAAAATTAAAAATGGAGTCCACGAATAAAGAAAAAAGTTTAGGAATAAAATAAATTTTGGTAATATAACACATTGTATATTGAAACCCTATAAAATTACTATAAATTATAATGCTAGTGAAGACATTGATATGGGTAGCTAAAACTTGGACAACAGCACTCTCTACAGTAGGATTCAGTTTACACATTTAAATAAAAATCTTGCCAAAAGACACACAAAAGTCAAATTTGGTCAAAGTTTTCACTAGAATTGGAAATGGGTTCATAAGAACTTAGCCATGACTTATTTCAAATGCTTTAAACTTCCCCACACTTTGATGGCAATACTCCAACCATCTGTTAAGGGCTAAGAAAGACAGTCACTTAAAGTCACAGAGTCAATCTGCTCTACTTCCAGGAATGTTGAGTCAGCATTTTCTCCACCAACCTTCATGTGAAGAACAGCTAGCAGCAGAATACACGGCTTCAATGTCCTGGAGGAACCATGCGTGGAGGACTTGAGGTGTGTGAATGGAGACATAACCAATGTGGATCCGTAAATAGTAATCACATGCTTTGTCCCCCTTCACCCTCTTGCCTTTGACAATTCCTAGAATCTTGATACAATCCCAAGGACTACAGAGCTCCAAGCATGACTTATAAGGAATTTCTAACTAGCTTGGTTGAGTAGGAAACATTTTCTATAAAAGAGATAAATCAAAACAATATGATATTCATTTTCTCTGTCTAGAAGTATTCTACATGCTTTTATTTTAAATAATTAATTGTTATTATATTCTCCATAGTAAGGTTTGCATATTTTCTTCCCTGGATAGGTTCAAATGTTTTACATTTGTCTGTACATCTGATTTGAGCTTACACAGTTTTGCTCATGCTCTGACTTCCCGTTTTCCCTGCTAATTTGCTTTCTTTTGTTTGATGCTGTGTTTTATTTCAGGATATTCTTTTGTTTGACTTTGTCTCACCATCTCAGCATTCTTTATTAAAAAGCATGCCAACATAACCTCGAATCTCAGAAAAGTCAAAAGAATGGAAGGAGGAAGAGATTAGACCTCAGGGATGCTAATGATCCAGGCCAGAAGTAAGTTAGGTGATCAGAAGCCGGAGATTGGTAAGGAAGTTGCTTTGCCTCTTATAGGGCTGATGGGAAAGTTTTCTTTTTCTGGACAGTTGGGGAACTCAGACCTTCGATTTGTGCTTCTTCATGTCTGAGGGGAACTGGAAACACATGATAATATCCTGGTGGTAATAACCACTTCTCTTTTCTCCCCATATGGCAATACATCTCAAACAGCCATGGAAAAGGGTTTCAGGGCTTTCACCCTATTCCTCAAATCTATTTCATCAGTTGCTAGAGTGATGCATTTCTTGTTACTTGAACACCACCACTGAGTTCAACCCCATGTTTAGGCTTTCTATGGAGGTTCCATAATGCAGATGTGTTAATTAAATTATTAGGTATTAGTGATTGAACTCAGTCTTTAGCTCTTTTCCCTTCCTGGAGGGGTGGGAGTGAAGGTTCCAAATATCTGATCATATGATTGGTTCCTCTGAAAAGCAGTCCCCATTCTGAAACTCTTGGGGGCCTTCAAGAATCATCTCATTAGCATAAACTAAAACTTAGTTAAACTGAGATTGTTATGTTTAAGAAAAGCTGTTCCTAGAGCTGGAGAGATGGCTTAGAGGTTAAGAACATGGTTGCTCTTACAGAGGACCTTGGTTCAGTTCCCAGCACCCACATGGTGGCTAATAACTGTCTGTAACTCCAGTTCCAGGGCACTTTGATGCCTTCTACTGACCTCTGTGGGCATTGTATGACACGCGTGCATACAGAGAAAATAAAAATAATAAATAAAATATTTCTTAAAAAGAAAAGTTGTTCCTTTCACATTCATTGCTCTGGAGTTATTTTTTTAAATTAAAAATATTTTCTTTATTATTTTTATTTTATGTGTATGAGTGTTTTGCCTGCATGTATGTGAGTGCACCCGTGCTGTGCAATGCCCGTGGAGGACAGAAGAGGCTGTTGGATACCCTGGAACTGGAGCTACGGACAGTTGTTAGCTGTCATATGGGTGCTGGGATTTGAACGTGGGTCTTCTGCAAGAACAACCAGTGTTCTTAACCTCTGAACCATCTCTCCAGCCCCATCTGGAGCTATTTTTGCAGTTTGAAAAAACCCCACAAATATTAGAACAAAAATTCTCCTATGATCCAAGGAATTTAGAAGTTCTATGTCAAGAATTGAGAATAAAACCATACATACATTTATTATATCCTAGTATCACACATATATCTACAGTAGATTGTCCAATATTGGAGACTATTTCCTTATGAGTGGAGGTGCTAGTGATGTTGGTAGAGAGGAAGGTCTGTCTTAGAGAGTGTATATGTGAGGAAGGCTCAGTAATACAATTCATGAACAACACAATTCATGAAGCTTTTCTCTGATTTTATATCACTTCTCATTCCCCTTTATCTAAGATATTACTGACCTTTGCACAATGTTACTCTTGACGCAGAAAGAAATTTTAAACAGATTTTGACATGTTGGACCAACAAGGTGAGTCTGGTTCCTTGGTACTTGGCAACAATTTCAATCCCGAGGATTACAATTCCTCCAAGAGGAGCAAGATCTTTATTCTCTAATCAAATAACATCTGGTCACATAAAAATAGTTCCCAAGTTCATCAGTTGTTTCAAGGAAGGCAAAAGCACAACATTCAAAAATATGAAAGGAATGGCTGAATATATAGGCAAAATGGGCAAAAGAAAATTACTTGAGCATAGAATACTAGTAATGAATGAACCGAACGTATGCTCATGGACGAAATCTTATACATGGCCACAGAGACCAGTTCCTTCCATGGTGACAATAGAAAGGTCTAGATTACCCTCAAGTCATCAGTAATGAAGTACAGGACTTATTTGTTCCAGGAGTCTCCACACCCATAGTTCAGAGGGGAATACGACAGAGTAGAGACAACAAGATGTATCACAAATGACAGTCGGAATACACTGGTATTTATAGTCCAAGAAGACGCATTATCTCAGCATTCAAATATCAGTTTTGGAGGGAAAAGTCTTAGTTTCCTGAAGTCTCATTTTCATATTGGCCAACAGTTGTCAACGTGGTTGCCAGCCTGTTGTCATGGTGACTGATGGGTTATTTGCCTTAGTTATAGCTTGTATGCCAAGAGTTCAAAATGGAGTTAGTGCTGTCAGATCATAGTCACCATTATCATAACTAAAATGCCAGTTTACTCATATTCTAATGAGCTATAATAGAGTAAAATGCATGTCAAAATACAACACCTTCCATTGTACAATGCTATTTTTCAATAATGTCCATGGGTCTTGTTTTTTTTTATTTTATTTTTTTGAGACAGGGTCTCACCATGTCGTTACAGCTGGCCTGGAACTCACTATATAGACCATCCCAGGCTGGCCTCTGACTCACGGGTATCTGCCTGTCTCTGCCTCTCAAGTGCTGGGAATAAAGGTATGTGTCACCACACCTGGCCTGGGTCTTCTTGTCTTGTTTTAAATGTGTGTGTGTGTGTGTGTGTGTGTGTGTGTGTGTGTGTACATGTGGAGGCTGGAGGTAAACAGTGGGTGTAATTATCAGGAACACCATCCATCTCCTTTGAGAGAGTCTCTCATGGCCCCGGGGCTCATCAGTTAAGCTGGACTGGCTAGACAACAATCCTTTAAGGATCCTCCTCTCTTTGCCTTCTTGGGCCTGGGATTACAAAGCATGTACCACCATACCTGGCATTTTTAGGTGGATTCTGGGGATCAAATTCAAGTCCTTATGCTTGCAAGATAAGCACTTTATGAACTGAGCCAACTCCCCAGCCATCCATGGGCATTTGTGTTATTTATTTTACTAACTCATAATATCTAAACTATATCCATTTAATCAGAATTTCTTATTTCCTAAGACCCTGTTCAATGTACGGATCAAACTATCTATAAAGTAAATAACCAAAATAAAGTTTTGTTAAGAAGCACTTAATTTAAATAAGTTTATAAATATATTTCTTTTGGGGCAAGAGAAATTTCCACATTAGGAATTGAACAAATGATCTGAATAGTTTTAAAAATTTTAGGAACAGTTTTAGGTATGTTTCTTAATTTCCTCTTTCCCATGTCTTTAAATCACTGGGTAACAGTTCAAACTGTGACTTCTTCTTTGTATATTTAGTACTGGTCATTCTTGATCATCTATCTATCTCAAGAGTGTGTGGAGGTTGATTCTGAGCTCTGACCTCTTTGAATGAAGACAGGTCCCTGAGTAACATCTCGGAGAGATACAAGAGGCCTTGACCTTCTGAACACAGAATTCCTGACAATGGTGCAAGAAAGACTGCCTCAAGTTAAAAGTGAGTATTTCTGTCTTAGTTCCAGAGGGGAAGGAAGAGTGTTTGATGAGACAAGGAGTCTTTTGGAGAGAAGAGGCACATAGTGGAGATGAGGAAGTAAAAGAGAGTGGACCGGGAGCAAGCAAAGCCACAGCCATGTGAAGGAACAGCAATATGCCAGAGTCAGAAACACTCGGAAGAACAAGAAACCAAATATTAAAAGGGGAATAAGAAAAGAGGGGAAGGAAGGTGATGTTTTAGAAAGGACATCAATGGAAGAATGTAATAGTTTGGAAGAAAGTGTAAAGACATAGAACTTGCAGGTACCTGAGGGTGAAATTTGCCCAGATTTTTTGGTGGGCTTTAGAGCTACTACCTGGTCATTTATTCTGGGGACTTTGACACAGTTTTCTTTAAATTTTAGTTACTCTGAACTTTGGTTTGCTCATCCCTCCAAGCTTCTTGGAGATGCCAGCTGCTTGGCCTTGGGGTGAGCACATTTGTCTTACTCTCTGACAGAGAAGAAGGTCTGCTGGTCCCTGAGGCTCTGGTCAGTTGCTGTGATTTCCATCCTACTCCTAAGCACTTGTTTCATTGTGAGCTGTATGGGTGAGTTCATCTCTTTTGGTTGCTTTCTCTTCTGCTCTGTGAAGACTCCCTGGGGCTGCCTGTTAATAATCAGTCTTAAGTGGGATGCCATCCTTTTCTTGATTTCCCCTTCTCCATCTCTCCTTTTTCCTTGATCGTTTGACAATCAAGTCTTTTAAAGTTACTTCACCTGGCTTTGTTAGCATTTGGGATCACAAGTTCACACATGCAGACTTATTTGTGGCCACCACCCGTGACACTACCTTCCAGCACTGGATTAAACCAGCAATCAGTCACAACCTCTCTGAATTGCAGGTGCAACTACAATTGATTTTATACTATTAAAACTTAAGAGTCTTTGATTCATGCTGGAATTTTTCCCAACAGGAGGAAAAGTTGTCAAATGAGATACTAAAGGTTAGGGTAATAAAATATTTCTTCCCTGTTTCTTTGCCTTCAAAGCCATATCTGATGTTCATTGTGTGAGAAGCTTTGATGATCTTTTTAGTCTACAATTTGGGTCTCTATTCACTGTTAAGATGATTACAATAGCTATTGACTAGACTGAGAGAGAGAGAGAGAGAGAGTGGAAGTGATTTCTTATGTCAAATGGTTCATATCTGCTGTCAGCCCTGAGATGAAATGAAACAGTATTACCCAAAGTAGGATCTATTTTAATTTACAGTCAAATGCAAGAGCGCAGGTGATGGTTAAGAAAAGCCACTTCAGTGGTCAAGAGGAAACAGAAGTTCAGGACCAAACATATGAACTAGAAAGAAAATTTTGCTTAAAATATTAGAGTGGCTGCCCTAGAAGCTATTGCTCAGCTTGTTCTGGAACCTCTGTCTTCTGTTCAACTGCCTTTAACTACAGCCTCCATCCACCAAGGGTGACTCAGAAGTCTCACAAGGTGTCCATCTCGGGCCCCAGGCCTTCAACAGCTGCTCCTACTGAGTGTACCAGGGCGTGGCATCAGCTCTTCTAGCTTTTTCTGGATGGACAGCAGCAGCAGCAACTTCTGTGGGGGGCCTGAGCACCTGCTTGAATCTGGGCGGCGGCTTCAGTGGGGTTGATGTAGGGGGCATTACAGTGGTCACTGTGAACTAGTCTTCTGAGCCCCCTAAAGCTGGGGGTGGACCCCAACATCCGGGTTGGGCTGTCTCAGGAGGATCAGATAAGTCTCTTAACATGTTCGCCTCCTTGACAAGGTACACTTCCTGGAGCAACAGAATAAGATGCTAGAGACCGAGTGGAGCCTGCTTCAGCAGCAGAAGGCAGGTCGGAACAACACAAACATGTTTGAGAGCTATATTAATAACCCGCGGCGGCAGCTGGAAGCCCTGGGCTAGGAGACGCTGAAGCCGGAGGCGGAGCTTGGCAACAGGCAGGGACTGGTGGGAGACTTAAAGAACAAGTCTGAGGATGAGATCAACAAGTGTACAGATGGTGAATGAATTTGACCTCATCAAGAAGGACGTGGACGAAGCTTACATGAGCAAGGTGGAGCTGGAGTCTTACTTGGAAGAGCTGACGCGACCAACTTCCTCCAGCAGGTCCAAGAAAAGGAGATGGGCAAGCTGCAGTGTCAGATCTCAGACACACCTGTGGCGCTGTCCATGGACCACAGCCGCTCCCTGAACACGGACAGCATCATCGCTGAAGGCTGTGCTCAGCATGATGACACCGCCAACTGCAGCCGGGCAGAGGCTGAGAGCATGTACCAGATTAAGTATGAGGAACTGCAGACACTGACTGGGAAGCACCGGGATGACTGAGATCTCTGAGATGAACCGCAGCACCAACCGCCTGCAGGCGGAGACTGAGGCCCTCAAAGGCCAGAGGGCATTCCTGATGGGCTCCCATCGCCGATGCTGAGCTGCGCGGTGAGATGGCTATTAAGGACGCCAATGCTAAGCTGGCCCAGCTGGAGGCTGCCCTGCAATTTGCCAAGCAGGAAATAGTGTGGCAGCTGGTGCGGGACATGTAAATTGCCACCTATTGTAAATTGCTGGAGGGTGAGGAGAGCAGGCTAGAGTCTGGGATGCAGAACTTTAGTATCCTTACTAAGACCACCAGTGGTTACCCAGGAGGTCTGAGCTCAGCCTACAGGGCCTCACCAGCCCTGACTTTAGCTATGGAACAAGCTCCTTCCAGCCCAGCTCCAGCTTTCCCAGGAGCTCCAGCACCTTCAGCCTCATCAAGGCTGTGATTGTGAAGACTGAGACCCCTGATGGGATGTCCTGTGAAATTCTGCCCAAGTGAATGGCCACTGAAGCCCTTGCCAGCCTGTGCCAGCCTGTGTCTCATGGGGGAGACAGCTGTATGGTGGAGTGCTCAGCCCTGGTCCTCTGCCCAACATTGGGAGAAATCTCCCACCTGGGGTGCTCCTCTAGCCCATGTTCCTAACCCAAATCCAGTTCAATTGTATTTTCCAAAATAATATCTCCGTTGGTTCTGCCAACTGGAAATAATAAATAAATAAATAAATAAATAAATGTCAATCAGGACCAGGAAGAGAGCGTGTATTCATTAACATTGTTTAATGAGTATACACATGAATAAAATGCTAACTTTTATTTGAGATATTAAAAATATCTAAATGTTTAAATACTTACAATCAGAAATATTTAGGAAAATGTTAAAATATCCAGTGTTCTTGCCTTAAAGCTCTTAGAATAAAGGTGGCCAGACAGCCAGTGAGTCAACAAATATGTATTGATGACTTGTGCTAGTTCACTGCTCCAGGTGTTTGTGATTAATTGATGAAGGAAACAGATGTACGCTCAAGACACAAAACTTATGTTATAGCAGTGGGAAAGGGCAAAATAAATGCACAGATGTTCACACAAACAAATAAAATGAACACAAGGGAGACATAATGTCTGGTCTTCTCTGAGTTTGCATAGAGAATGAGGGAGGTTGGGGGGCGGGTGGAGGTGCACTGGCTTGAGGCAGGTAGAGGACATGAGGCTTCGTGACTCTGTATGTGAATGCCCATCCCTCTTCTTCCTTCACAGTGACCTACAAGTTTACAATGGACCAATCTAATAAAAGACTCTCTGAACTACACACATACCACTCAAGTCTCACCTGCTTCAGTGAAGGAACGAGGGTGACAGGTAAAGATTTACAATATTTTTCTAGACTTTCTCTTTCCTCAGAGGGAAATCAGGGTTGAGTTCAAGATTTTTTTTGAGAGAGAGAGAGAGAGAGAGAGAGAGAGAGAGAGAGAGAGAGAGAGAGAGAGAGAGAGAAACTTCTACTCGATCAAGATTTCTCTAAACTTTCATGTTCATTTCAGACTCTAGCTATACCACTGAAACAATTCCTGTTCCAGGTTTCTTGATTTTGGTAAATGCTATTAATGGACATACATCTAGTTTGCTCAAAACTCTGGAAATTATAAGAATTCTCATTTTTACCTTAAATGTATAACCCCATCTCTTGACATTTAAGCTTCTCAATACTATCCAAGTCCATTCCAAGAACCAGCTTTAGTATTGGGCAAACTGACTCAGGCTGAGACATCCCCTGTCCAAAATATACAACTGGCAGCTTCATGCATGGAAGAAGATGGGAGAACCAAATTCAGTGTCATGTCTGCTTAGCCACTGTGTGGCGATAAAAGCTACAGAGAGGCCAGTGCTTGTCAGTAGGTTTCTTTATGGACTTAATCATTGCACATAAATGCCATGTAGACAGAAGTCAGACTCTTGATATTTTAAGAACTAATTTATTCACTACTCTGCTTTTGTGGAGAATCTATGAGAAGTAAAGACAGAGCAAAAGCTCCTTTACATGTCTAGAAGACACTGGAATTTTCTCTTTCAGTTGTTCATCAGAATATGTTGCATGGGGCTGGAGAGATGGCTCGGCCAGTGGTCAAGAGCACTGGCTAGTCTTGCAGAGGACCTTGAGTTCAATTCCCAACATCCACATTGTGGCCTAACAACCATCTGTAAATCCAGTTCCAGGAGTAGCAAAAACCCATTCTGTCCTCCACAGGCACTACATAACACAGGTTCACTTACATACCTTCGGGTGATATACCCATACACATAAAATAAAAAGTAAGTAAAATGTTAAAAAAAGAATATGGTACATAGGAATGCAAAATGTTTTCAAGCTCTCCCTGACACTGCTTTTCTTAGCACCTTGGGGTTCTTTGTTCAAACGACTGTGGAGCTGACTCTTTGGTGAAGAACGCATAATTCTGTGAGGATAGTCATTCTCTCATTTTTTGAGACACTTCTACATTTATTTATTTTGATTAAAAAATTGAGCTAGGGTTTCACACATAGCCCAAGAAGGCTTGGAATGCTCTAGAAAGCCAAAGCTGGCTCAAACTCACAATCCTTCTGTTTTAGCCTCCCAAGTGCTGGGATGACAGGTGTGCACCACCACACCAGGCTACCACTTTTGTTTTAGAGAGTATCTTCTTGGAAAAGAGCAATAGGCACTTTACTTTTGTCTTCAGAAAACCCTGAAATGGGACAGAGCTGGATCTTAATTAACTCGATATTATCCATAAACTCATTCCTTAAGTATTTCCAAACTAAAATTATGGCTAAGCAGGCTGTTAAGTAGAACAAATTCTATTTATAGATAAGCTTATGTGATAAAATTATTTTATATGAATAGACCAGAGAATAAAAATAATTAAAATGTTGACAATGTCCTTTCAATGTATTATAATACAATAAAAATAAAATTGCCAACAAAAGTTTTGCATGGTGGTGCATACCTCTAAGCCCAGCACTTAGAAGGCAGAGGCAGGAGGATTGCTGCAAACTTGAAGTCAGTCTGGTTTACCTAGATCATTCGAGGCCATTCAGGGTTACATAGTGAGACCTTGTCTCAAAAAACCCAAACAAAACCAACAACAGAACAACAACAACAACAAAAACCCTTGGGGCTCAAGAGATGGCTTAGATGTTAAAAGCACTGGCTGCTCTTGCAGTGGACCCAGGTTTGATTCCCAGCACCCACATGGCAGCTAAGAACCGTCTGACTCCAGTTCCAGGGGATCTGGCACTCTCTTCTGATCTCTGTGGGCACTGCATGACAGAGGTGCATTTAAATATATGCAGGCTATACACTCATAGACATAAAATAAAAAATATTAAAAAATAACCCATAAAGACAACAAAAACTTCCATTTTGACTGCAGTTAAAAAATATTGGGAAAAGCTGGGCATGGTGGCCCATGCCTTTGATCCCAGCACCCAGGAGGCAGAGGCTGACTGATCTTTGTGAGTTCAAGAAAGCCTGGTCTACATAGTGAGTTCCAGGCCAGCTGGGACTACAGGGACTGTCTCAAAAGATGAAAAAAAAAAGAAAGAAAGAAAGAAAGAAAGAAAGAAAGAAAGAAAGAAAGAAAGAAAGAAAGAAAGAAAGAAATATTTGAAAAGAACTTTGTATCTTCTCTAGTTCACTCATACTCAGTTGCAGTGAAAGTGTTAATTTGGTTGCCTGAGTAGCTAGAGCTCCTTCAATAGGCCTAAGCATTGCATTCTTAATATCAATAAATGCTAAGTGCAATTCTTTTGTATTTTATATTTTGTAAAAACAAGGTACTCAGTAGCATTTATGGGGCAATTATTCCTGGTTAAGCACCTTTTAAAATGCTTGCTGCCTACGTAATTAAAGGGAATGTTCACTTAAAATCAGTTCTATGGCCCCAACTTACATATTCAGAGAACATAAATATTGTAATTACAATAAGAGCCCAACTGTTGCAAACAGTCTCAGACCCTTGGAGTTGTTTAGGATATATCTCATTAATCTCATTTTGTGATCACGTTTGTCTTTCATGTAACAGAAAAAGTTTGGGGGTGCTGTCCGAGTCCTTGGAAGTCATTTGGCTCCAGCTGTTACCTCATTTCTACTAAAGAGACTGTTTGGAGTAAGAGCGAGCAGAATTGTGTTGAGATGGGGGCACATCTGGTGGTGATCAATACGGAAGCAGAGCAGGTAACCTTTCTTATTCTTCATCAACTTTTTAATTGGAAAATATGCAGTTAAATTTATCATCTTGATCATTTTAAGTGTACAGGTCCAGTGTTTAGTATGTTTACCTTGTTGTGTAATAGCCCTGTAGAATTACTTCAAATTCATGCAAGTGAAATAATGTTATTTATTCTCTCTCTCTCTCTCTCTCTCTCTCTCTCTCTCTCTCTCCTCTCTCATGTGCATACATGCATGTGTCTGGCTTATCTCATTTGGTATGATGTCCTTAAGGTTCATTCATGTTGCCATATTTGACAGTATTTTCTTCCTTTTTAAGCCTGAATATTTACATTTTATTCTTGTTTCATATGATTAATTTTTCTAGATTTCTTAAAATTAATATTAATGTGTATTTATAGTGTGATTATTGCTATATGTATACATTGTGAAATGACTACCACAATGAAGATAATTCACATACCTGGTGCACATGTATGCACACGCGTGTGTAGAACATTTAATATCTCACTTTCCTTCCATTTGTTTAGTGATTGCCATATAGATTGCTTCTACTTCATGGCTCTTATGAATAATACTGCAATGAAATACTGCAATGAATATGGGTGTGTAGATGTCTCCTTGAGATCCTGCTTAGAAAATATCTATTCTTTCCCAATTTCACACACATATAATGTTCTTTGATCAAAGTTCCCTCGTTATCCCCCATCATGCCCTTCCCTTTCCCACCTATGCCCTTTTCTACAGTCTCCCACTTACTTTGTCTTATTCATGCATGTGACCCACTGTACTTCATTAGGATTGTCTGTATGACCATGGGTGTACGGTTAGTCACTTGGGTGAGGGCAATGTACCAGTGACTACACCTTGGAGGAATATGAGTGCCCCTTCACCAGCAACCATTAACTGCCTGTAGCTCCATGGGGAGAAGAGGTGCTTTACTAGGCCCTCCATGTCCATGATGGAAAGTTGATGGGCACAGTCCTGTGCAGGTGGTATTGTACAGGTAGCCATCACTGCTGTGAGCTCATGGGTGCAACAGTCATGCCACGCCTGGAAGATAACATTTTATAGTACTCCTTTGAGTCCTTCATCGCTTCCATTCTTTTTTCTATGATGTTCCTGAGTCTTGAAGGTGGGGATGGAAAGGTACTGTACATGTCCCATTTAAGACTGAGCACTCACTGGGTGTGGTGGTACACACTCCTTTGATCCCAGCACTGGGGAGGCAGAGGCAGGCAGATCTCTGTGAGATCAAGGGAAGCCTAGTCTACATAATGAGTTCCAGGCCAGCTAGGGCTACAGGGAGACCCTGTCTCAAAAATAAAAATAAAGACACCAAAAAAAGGACTGAGCCTTCAAAAGTCACTTGTTCTCAGCATATTGACTTGTTATGAGTCTCTGCGAGCAGCACTAATCTGTTAACACAAACTCTCTAAACACATATTTAGAGAGTTTAATATAATGTCCATTTGTAAAACAACAGTAGTAGGGTCCTGGTTAGGGCCTATGAGCTCCTGGGCTTTGACCAGGTTTATAGCACCAGATATAAATTCCTCTTTCAGAGTAGGCCTCAAATTCAACCACATAGTTGGTGACCCCCGTAACAGCCATGCTACCATTGCATCAGTGGGCATATCTTGACTGGCAAGTTGATATTGTATCTCACAGATTTCTGAGAGGAAAAGGAAAATAAATCATGAGGCAAGCTGGCTCTGGTCAGTGTCCACGCAGCTGTAAGGTCTTGTGTGGTCTTTCATTCACACAGGGGACAAAGCTATACAGGTCCAAGAGTTGACTCCAAGGCTGAGTGTAGGGACTGAGCAGTAGTGGCAGGAAGGTAGGTGGGCCTAGCTGAGCAGTGTGCCCTCCTGCTCCTGGGCCTGTTATTCTGCCCTTGTGGTACAGGTGGTGTATTCCTATACTCTTCTGGATGCAGTCAGGGTGGCTGGAACTGGGGAGTGGCTAGGCCCTACCCCCAGTATGGGAAGTGCCAGGTCCCTCCTCTGTGTCCCCATCACCAGGCAACAGGCTCACATTCTTTTCCTCAGGGCTGATAGGCAGGTTCAGCAATTCATTGCCTCCTCCCCAGGAAAGCCAGACTCAGGTTCTGATGACGGCAAAAGTTCACTCTCATCTGGTGGGGAAGAAGGTAGGGCTTCAGTGGGGCTCAGGGGAAAAATGGCCCTGTAGTCCAGGGACTGCATCACTTCCAAGGCTGTGCACTGGATCACTGCTGCAGAAGGCAGAGTGCGGTCCACAAACGCATGAAGCTAGCTGGCCAACAGATCCTTCTTCAGAGCTAGCAGAGCTGGCTGGGTGTGGAGTGCTGAGGGATAGGACAGGGCTGGTGGTGGTGTGAGCCCTGGACTGAAGCAGGCTTACTCACTCCCCTCCTCAGGGAGATGGCCTGGAGAGTGATGTTAAATAGCATTAGATAGGGTGCTGTTGACAGGGATTTGAACCTTTTCTTAGAGAACTCTATTACCTTAAGACCAAGATATGGTGGGTGTGGTACAGATGGGATAGTATATGGGTTCAGGTTCTCAAAGGCCAACAGAGGCAACTCTTCCTCTGGGGTGCTCCCCACTGCCTGACTGGGAGACAGGAGACACTCTGGCCTGACACCCAGGCAAAGATCTGGGTGGGCACCACATCCCCTGGGCCAGACTGGAAACAGGGCCATGGTGTTAGCAGCCTCCTGACCACTGGGCAGATGTTTCAGAAGCATGTCCTATAGGTCAAAGGGTATCAGTGTTTCCAGGAGTGAGAAGTGAGAAGCAAGAAGCTGAGCCCATACCTACTGTCCTATTGCTACCACACTTGAGGAACTGCAAAACCAGGTTGTAGTCCAACTGGTACTGCTGCTCCAGCTCCTCCAGCTCCTTAATGGTCCTCTTTGAATCCATCAGCTTGTTGATCAGCTCCACATCTACCAGTCAGTTTCAATGACTTTCTCCCTCTGCATAGAACCTCTAGGCACCATGAAGGCCAGCTAGCAGTGAGGAAGCTTCCAGCTCAGTTCCGGCTTGACTTCTCTATGTTTTGCCACCAAAGTATGAGGTATCTTCAGCATTAGGGTCTTATCACCTATCTTTGGTGGGGAGCCAAGAACAGCAATAGCCTTTATTGTTTTGGGGTCCACTGAGGCATATTACATCTGGCATTGAGATTTTGATTCTTTCATTTTTATTGAATTTTTTACAAACTTCATACTATATATTATGATCATATTTAGACCCCTTCCCCTCTCTGTACTCTCTTACCTTCTTTCCAATTTCATGTACTCTATTATATATATTAAGGCCTGAGTCAAATTTGTGTCCCCAAAGGCCACAACAGTGACAGCATGCATAAGACCTATATTAACTCAAGGCAGACAGAATCCCAGCACAGAAGTGGGAAAATGAGTAAAAAGCCCCACCCCTAACTGAGGAACTATTAACAGCTAATAGCTCCTGGGAGAGGGAGAGTCAGTTTACTTCAAGAGTTTGACACTGGCACCAAGAATTTTTCTTTTTGAAATTTTTTTATTTTTATGTGTATGAGTGTTCTGCCTGTATGTATGTAAGTGTACCCTTGTCATGCAGTGCCCATGGAGGCCAGAAAAGGGCATCAGATCCCCTTGAACTGGAGTTATAGATGGTTGTTAGAAGCTATGTGGGTACTGGGAAACAAACTCAGGTCCTCTGCAAAAGCAGCCAGTGCTCTTGTGGAGCCATCGCTCCAGTCTCCGGCACTAAGATTTTTCTTTATTTCTTTTTAAATATTTTAGTTATTATTTTTATGTGTGTATGAGTATTTTGCCTGCAAGTGTATAAGTGCACCCATGTTGTGCAATGCCATGGAGATCAGAGGGGCTTTGGATCCCCTAGAACTGGAGTTATGGAAAGTTGTTAGCCGCCATGTGAGTGTTGGGAATCAAACTCAGGTCCTCTGCAAGAGCAGTCAGTGCTCTTAACTGCTAAGCCATCTCTCCAGCTCCCCAAATTTTTCTTAAAAATATTTTATTTATTATTTTAATTTTATGTGTATGAGAGTATTGTCTGCATGTGTGTAAGTGCACCCATGTCATGCAGTGCCTGTGGAGGTCAGAAGAGGGAGTCAGATCTCCTGGAACTGGAGTTACGTATGTGTCGGGGATCCTGCCCCAACACAGGAGCCGGGGAAAGGGAGGTGATCTGTCCTCCTGTTACCTGCAGCCTCCCCGGGAGACAATCAGATGCGACAGGGAGACAGTCAAGCAGGAACTCGTTTATTACAGGCGTTACAGGGCTTATGAAGGCAAAAACCACAAAGGAAAATCCCGTCCCCAACCAAGTGTCCAATCATATTAAAGGTGAACTTGAGCATACAGTCTCCTCTTCATAGAACAGCATAGTGTTCACGAGGTGATCACGTGCTGCCAAGAGGCACGGAAATGACAGGAGCCAATTAGCGATTCTTCAAAACAAGTCTGGCCATGTTCTGGCCGTTTCCTCTAGGCACCCAACAAGTCTGATCACACCCCGGCTGTTTCCTCTAGGTGCCATCCTGCCTCACCCCTGGCCTCAGGTCCCCGCATCTCTCCCCCTACTTTGTTTTAAAAGTGAGGTTCCTCAAGGATAGCCCCTGGGGATGGGGCACACCATCCCCATCCCCCTCTGCTGCTATGGCCTCCCTGTCTTAGGTTGCCTCTCCTCAGGTACTGAAGTTGCCTGTCCTTGGCTAACCATGACTGCCCTCATGGCCCCTGTCTTGGGTTCATCAGTCTGGGAGGGTCTTACCCATCATTGGGACCAGCCATGGCCTTTTACAGTTAATATACAGGGGTCTATCCCATAAGGGGGCAAAGCAACCTGGGTCCTCCGGCTAGCTCAAGCATCCATGCCTGGACCTGTCTTGGGGAGGGGCCTGAGGGTGACTGGGTGGCCAGGGTGAGTTGGACCAGGACTTTCTTTGTCTGTTTCTATCTTTTGATAATCGAGCAGAGACACCTGAGGAGAACAAAAGCTAGCACAAGCATTAGAAACATGCTCCCATAGGTGAGTAACCAAGTTGGGTCCAAGAACCCCTTGATATGCTCCCATACCTTATTAAAAAAGGAGGAGTCCATTGATAGGACCGGGGCCTGGGTATAATTTAGAGGAATAATCTAATTGGTCAGTAATATGAAAGGGGTGAGACAAAGTGACCTAAAGCGGGGGTCACAAGCTAGCAGAGCCATGTCTTTGGTAATTGCCAGCTCTTCACTTAAGAGAAGGGCAAGAGTATAGGCGGTGTGCTGGATAGCTTTAGTGTCAACTTGACACACCTGTGTTGAGGGAGCCTCAATCGGGAAATTGCCTCTATTGGACTGGCCTGTGGCCATGTCTGAAGGGCATCTTCTTGATGAGTGATGTGGGAGGGCCCAGCCCACTGTGGGTGGTGCCACCCCTGGGCAGGTGGGCCTGTGTTGCATAAGAAAGCAGGCTGAGCAGGGGCCAAGGGAGCAAGCCTGTAAGCAGCGTTCCTCCATGGCCTGTGCTCCAGCTCCTGCCTCCAGGTTCCTGCCCTGAGTTCCTACCTTGGGCTCCCTGATGAACTGTGACCTGGCAGATGTAAGCTGAATAAACCCTTTCCTCCCCAACTTGGTATTGGTCAGAGTATTTTGTCACAGCAATGAAGAACAAACTAGGACAGGACATATGTATAGAAAATATGCAAATGGAAAAAAGGAGCTATAAAAATCTTTCTCCCAGTTTTTAACTGTGTTCCTTTGCTCTTATTAAGTAAGATAAAGAATAGAATAGACAGGATAGAAGAATAGAAAAATAAATACTTCATATATTTTAGACATTGGTTCCTTGTCAGATATATGATTTACAAAATTTCCCATGTTATGGGCTGCTCTTTTGCTTGTTGACTTTTTCCCTTTGCTGCGCAAAAGCTTTTTGGTTTGATGTATTCTTCTTCGTCTTCTTTTCATTTTGTTGCCCGTTCTTTTGTTTCATAGTCCAGACTGCATTGATAATCCCAACGTAATGAAGCTTTTACTTTGGGTTTTCTTCCAGGGTTTACAAATTCTGAATTATGTATTTAGATTTTTAAAGCACCTTGAATTAGCTTCAAAGGGAAGCATCCAACTTCATTCTTTTGCCACACCGTTCATTACATGCACCATTTGTTAGAGAGTTTGTCCTTTCTCCATCATGTGACCATGGTATCTTGTCAGAAACCACTTGACAAGTCTATTTCTGGAATTTTCAAGTAAATAGAATGTCTCCCCATTTAGTTGTGTAGTCTTTGATTTTATTAACCAATGTCTTGTAGTTTTTAGAATGTAAGAATTTTGCTTCCTGAGTGACCTGATTGCCTATTGGTTAAGTTTATTCCTAGGTATTTTATTGTTTTTGCTACTATTACAAAGAGTTATTTTTCTAATTCCCTTTTCAGATTGTTCACTGTCAATGTGAAGAAATGAAATTGATTTTTATATTTTCATTTTGTATCCTGAAATTTTGCTGAATTTTTTAAAGGCCCAGGAAAGCTAGTGGGATAACTCCAGCCCCCAGTTCAAAGGCCTGAGATCTGGGGAAATGTATATCCTACTTCAAGGGCAGTAAAAGACTATCTTTATCTAAGCAGGTAGGCAGAAAGAAAAGAAACAGAATTCCTTTTCCCTTCTCATTTTGTTTTATTCAAGACCCCAAATGATTGGATGATGCCTACCCACATTGATGAGGGCAAACTGGTTTACTGAGCTCCCAGATTCTGATGCTAATCTTATCTGGAAACATGGTATAGACACCCAGAAATGAAGCCTTAACATGGGCATCCCTTGACCTTATCAGATAGACACATAGACACATAGAATTTTTTAAAAACTTTTCAAAAAAACTTTATTGAGAATTTCATACATGCGTATAAGGTATTTGATCAAATCCATGCCCACTCCCTCCCCTCTAACACGTCCCATATCTCCCCATCTCTTTTTCTGACTTCATGTACTCTTTCCTTCCTTCCTTCCTTCCTTCCTTCCTTCCTTCCTTCCTTCCTTTCTTCCTTCCTTCCTTCCTTCTTTCCTTCCTTCAGGGCTTTTTGCTACTCTAACATTTCCCCCTCTGAAGAGGTAACTCTAAAATCTTTTAAGGATTAGATAAAAGCTCCCAAATACTTTAGACA